TATGTAATTGTATAGATATATAGTTTCAAGAATCTTAATAAAGTACTAGCATAACTGCTTAAGGTTAAAAAAAATAAAAAATAAAAAATAATATTTATTAATACATTAGATTTTTTATAATATATTTAGAGAATTGCTATTTGCACTATGGATTTTTGCTATTCACACCATGGTGACTAACATTATGAAAAACTACTTACCCTAACTCTAACTAATTCTGGTCATGATCTACATACCATGGTGTGAATAGCAAAAATCTATAGTGCGAATAGCAATTCCTTATATTTATACTATTATATTACTATATATAAATATCCAATATAATATTATATTTATACTTTTTATATTAATTATAGCCACATATTGTATTTGTTATTATTAACTTAAAGTAAAACTATAAACATCTGTTATATTATATTTTTTTAATACTTTACCTAACTATATACAATTATTTTGTTTATTTTTTGTAATAATTTTTCTTTTTTTATATTGGTTAATTTTAGAAATTTTTTGCTCTTTTTGTTACTAATTTGATATACTAACTTTGTATTATTTAATTAATTATCTTATCAAATTTATTAAGTTTTAGATTGTTAATTTGCAGTTACTATATACTTTTTTTATATATTTCTATTGTTGGTATTAGTTATAGCTTAAATACTTATATTTCTTGTAAATTGTAAGTGTACTACTACTTTTGTATTACTATATTATTAGTCTAATATTGCAAAAACATCTAAAATTTTAACTTATGATATACAGATATAGTAATATCAATAACATTATAATGTATAACTTCTAGTTCTGTTCTTTATTAAGATTTTTATAGTATTTATTCAAAATGTTTTAATTATAATTAAATTAATTTTTTTTTATAGATTTTACTTGTATATACTGCTTCATTTATTATTTTAGTTTTAGTTATATTTAGTATTACTCTTTTAATTAAGTATTCTGCAAGTTAAATGCAGAAATATTGATGTTATTTTGTCTTCTGAAGAACTTATTTGCACAATATTTTATACAACAAATCTTTTTATAATATTGTTATAATATATAGTACTTTTTTTTTATAGAATTAATCTTTTTTAAGAATTTCTAATTTATTTTTGTACTTTATTTTAGAACTTTTTACAAGACTTTGCATCTAATTTGGTTTTTATTTTAGGTTACAAAGTTTAAAATTCTTAGATTTTGTCTTTAGTTTAACTTAAAAGTTAATTTTGTCTATAAAAAGTTAGCAGCTTAATTATTAAGCTATAAAGCTTAATCTTTTTTAAATTTTATTAATAATTTATTTTATATAAATTAAATAATATTTATTTTTTAAGTTTTAAGTTTTAAGTTATTTTTAATATAAGCTTAGTTTAAGTAATTTTATATTTTTAAATTTAAATAAAATTTAATATATCTTTTTTGTTTATTGTATTTTATATTTTTTAAAAAAATAATAAAAAAGATAATATAATTTAAATATAATTATATTTAAAAATTATTATTTGTTTAAATATAAAACTTTTCAAATATATAATTAATTAAACTTCTATTTATTGGTACTATTATAATGTTTTTAAAAGAATTTGATTATATCTTTTTTTTAGTATTAAGATAAGGTTATGTTTTCTAGTCTTTATTAATATATATTTGTTATAACTTGTATAATTCTATATTATATATTATTTATTACTCTATATATCTATTAAAACATAAAACTCAAATATAGAAATAAGTTAACAAAATTCTGACAAATTGTTTTTATTAAAATTTTTTCTAAACTTTAAACTTAAATATCTTACTCAAAACTTTTAATCAATTTTAATAATTTAGTATTTATTTTAATTCTATAAGTTTGTAAAATTAAAATAATACTAAATTACAAAATTAATTAAGTTTTAGATAAGATATTTAAGTTTAAAAATTTTAATAAAAATAATTTGTCTGAATTCTGTTAACTTACCTTATATATTTATTTGTTACCTAAACATATCAAAGTTTTATATTATATTCTACTTATACCTAATCTGAATTTTTGTTTTATTACTAATTATATTAAGTAATTATTATATTTTTCTTATATCTTTGTAATCTATTTTAATAATTTTTAAATTAGTTTACTAGGTTATTCATTTTTTTTGTGCTCTTATATTTGATTTATCTAAAAAATATTTTTTTAACATATATCTTAAGTCAGAATCTTGCTGTTATTGCTAACTTTCTAATTCAGATATTAATAATATATATCTTAAGACAAAGTTCTGTTACTATTACTAGTTTGTAATTTTTCTTGGTCTTAGCATCATTTTCAACTAATTGTATATCCAACCTGTTATTTAAATATTTTTTTTATAATATAAATAGAATTATATTTTAAGAAATAAGTTTTTTTCAATTATTAATTGTTATGATAGTATATTACTTATTGTTACTTAATATTGTAAGTTTTTTCTGTTTTGTTACTAGTCTTGGACAATATTTTCTCTATTATTTATGAACTATTTAATTTAAATTTATATTTAAACTAAGATGTCTATATTATATTCAAATAAGACTTATTATTATTTTTAATTTAGATATTTTAATCTTAATTGATATAATATTTATGTTAATATATTCTACTTGTTTTACTATAGGCTTTTATATAGATATAATTAAACCTTTGATTTGAAACTTTTAGATATACAGAACAGACTATAACTTCTTTATATATATAATTACTTTTTATTTTTAGTTATTCTACAATGCCAAAAATGCTTTCAATCTTAAAAAGATTATTCTTTATTACAGATCTTCTTTGTATACACTGCTTCTCTTATTATTTCAGTTCATATTACCTTTATATCATTCTTTCAATTAAGTATTTCATAAGTTAAATGCAATGATGTTGATACTGCCCCATCCCTGAAGAACTTAATTATATAACACTTTGTATAATAGAACTTTCTATAATGTTACTGTCATACATAACGCCTATACTTTGCAAAATCAGTTTCCTTTTAAGAATTTCTGTTTCAGTCATGTACTGCACTTGGACTTGACCACAAGGTTTCATGTTTAATTACAAGCTCCTTTTTAGGTTACAGAAGCTAAATTTTTTTTGAATTTTGCTTAGCTGAACTTGAATTATTGACCTTAACTGCGAAGTATAGAAGCTTAACCACTAAGCTCTAGGACTCACACCCTATTTGATTATATCTTTATTCAAAATAATAAAAACAAGTTAATATAAATTATGATAAATAATTTATTATTATTTTTTTAAAAAATTTAAACAAAAATAATTTAATAACTTTTTACAAATTTGCAAAATCAATTACTGTATATTAAATTTGATAAAATTTTTGTTAAAACTTGCTATATTTATTTATTTTTAAAAATAGTACTTGGATAATATCTGATATTTTTATTTATTGAAGTGTTTTCAATAAAGGTCTAAATAATAAAGCCATTCTCAAATAGATTAAATAATAGCTTTTATAGCTTTGTTTTTAGTTATATTTTTTTTTTGGTTCTAGCTATTAAATTGGTTATTTGCGTAACAAATGTGTGATACGTACGTATGTACATATTTTAATGCTAAATTTATAAATAGATTAACCTTACTTTTTCTTTTTGAAAACAATGGAAAAAACTGAAAAAGACTTCATAAAATTAACATCTGATCCATTAATACTCCAGGATATTGTCGACTTAGTTAAGGATGACCAAGCTGGAGCCATTTCAACATTTTGTGGTACAACTCGTAACACGTTCGAAGGAAAATATTTTAATTACACATTTATTTCATTTCCAACTATCTTCGACTTATTGTTATTCTTTCTTTTTTGATTAGACAAGACAGTAGTCCGCTTAGAATATGAATCCTACATCCCAATGGCTGAAAAAGAGATTTCATCGATAATCACTGATGTTAGAAGCAAATGGGAACTCACAAAAGTAGCAGTTCATCATAGACTAGGCATAGTTCCGGTCGGAGAAACTAGTGTGATAATTGCGGTCTCGAGTGTTCACCGTAATGAATCGCTTAAAGCTGTTGAATGGTTAATTAATACATTAAAAGAGAAGGTACCAATTTGGAAAAAAGAGATTTATTACGATGGAAGCAGTTGGAAAGAGAATACGAAAAGTAAATGTTGTTAAAGGATTTAATTAACCAAATCACGAGTGATCATACAATTGCATTATTATATTGAATTTAAATCAAATTTATTCTTTTAAATTTGAAAAAATTTATAAAAATTTTATTTACTTATATGTTTTAAAAATTATAATCAAACCCAATACAGTACGCTTTAATTATGATTGAATAATATTTTTGGCTTTATAAATTTTTTCTATAAAACGAATAAATAAATGAATTATATTGATTTTATTCTACCTAAAATAAATCAATTATGACAAATTAAATAATTCTCGAATGTAATGAAGTAAAAAAAAAAGTGAATTTCAAAAAAAGGAATGTTAGGGTAATAAATATATCCACATACCTATGTAAATTCAGAAGAAAAAAAAAAGGACTGTATGTACACTTGATAAACGTGGTATACCTAATAAATGTTCAAATCTTTTCATGAATTTAAAGAAATACAAATGTTCCGGAGTAGCATTAAAGATACCAAGGAAATCTTTAACTAAATACATGCAAAGAACATTATTATATACACTTTGCATATGTATTAAATTAAGACCAAGTGGAAGGGCAGGATTTGCCAAGTATACAATATTAATCATTACTATAAAATAGTATATTTTATTATTAAATAATGATATATTTTATGATGCTTGAATAGTAACTAAATTACCTCATACTGTATGTGCAATTTTTTTCAGATTGTTCAGATTAAAGTTCATTGTTGAATCCATTGCCCAATATTTTTGTAGTGTTTCAATATCTTTAAAACAAACATATATATTAGAATATATTTAAATAAATTAAAGTAAATTTAAAAGTCATAATAAACCTACCATCATCAGGTATGAAAACACTAATCACGCCTGGTTTAACTAGTAACGAAAATAATAGAAATAAAAACAAATATTATGTTTAAGCAAATATTTAACGAAATTGAATGAATAAAATTATATAGTAACTTAGATTACCTCTGGGGTTAATAGCTCGAGGGTTAATTTTGGGGTTAACTGAATAAGGTAATTAAATTAAAAAAAAGAAACCTAAGATGAGAACTAAAGTTATCGATGATAAACATGAGAACTCAGATTTTACCTATTTCTGGTCGACCAGGCTCATAACCTTGCGCGTCTCGGGATACTTCTCTAGTATCTTTGTGAGTTGGTGGGTGATTATATGTATTTCGGAAAGATTTTGAATTAGATATAATTCCAGACGATAACAAGTGTTTTGGATTATCTCGGGAAGGTTGTGTTGGTTGTTGGGATAATTGAATAGTGTCACTCGAACTACCTTCGGATACGGAAAGAGGGATATTCAGAGAAAGATATTGTCGTCTACGTGTCGTTCCACGTAATTCAGGGAAATCCAATAATCTACTATGATATACTGCATCCGGATGCGTTCGTTCAGTGGACACGTTGTTGTGTGCAGGATCCAAGCCATCTTTCCGCGAGAAGACATCTAGCGAATCGTTCACCAACCAGTGATGAACAGTTTTCAAAATATCAGCGACATCAGGTCGTTTACTAGGATCACTATCCCAGCATTTTTCCATAAGATCAGAATAGAGTGGAGGGGTTCCCACGGGAATCGGTGATCTTTTTCCTTCGCAAATTTCTTTAGCTAATTCGAGATTGTGGGGTGTGCTACAGAATGGTTTCATACCGGAACAGAGTTCCCACATTATGATAGAAAAACTGTAAATATCTGATTTATCAGAATAATCCAATCCCATAAGAAGTTCTGGAGCGATATAAGGTAGAACACCATAGATTCCATCACTGAAGGCTGGTTCGCTTGCTGGTCCGCTTAATCCAACATCGCCAATCACAAAATTGGATTGATCGATGTTCATGATATTACCACTATGTAAATTCCCATGAACAAGATCTCTTATGTGTAATTCTTCTAGGCCAGATGCGATTTGTTTAAGGATTCGAAGCTTATCTTTCCAACTAGAAGTGCTATTATGTTGAAGATATAAACGCAAGTCACCTGATTGTGCATATTGCATAACCATTATGAAATCGCCATTGCTTGGAGATTGAGTGATACCATGACAATGTAGAAATTGAGATTGAGAAAATAGATCCCAGTTCGCCTTAATCTAAAAACATATACATTTTTATGATTATTATATTTGTTTAAAATTATTTAAACTATCGTATCGATAAGGAAAAATAAATAAAATAAAATAATTAACCTCATTTAAGTAATTAATGCTTATATCTTGGGAATTATTCAAGGATTTTAACGCAACAGTTTGGTTAGAAGTGGTCCATGTCGCTTTGTAAATGGTAGAGAAACCACCGTCCGCAATATGTTCGCAATCCACAAATTCCTCATACGGAATCCAATTTAAATTATGAGCTGGATGAGGATATTGTAATCTGATCAGTTGTATAAGGTCGTCAATAACTTTGTTGCCGCTGCGCCAATCCCGACATAATCCTATACTTGTTCGGTCGGGAGTATTAAAGTTTAATGGTGCAAGATAATTCTTCTCGTTTTTCTCTTCGTTGTTTACAAGCAAGTTATTGATACGAAATGTATTATCATTGTTTGTAACATTATTATGTGCTAATCTCTCATTTTGGCGTTTGTTACTTCGACTAAATCGACTTCTTGTCTTTTTACGTCTTCGAATAAAAACTTTTCTCAAGAATTTTCTTTAAAAATGATGACATCATCAGAATGCAACCTTTTTTTTAAAAAAACAAACCAGTCTGGAAAATTTCCTAAAATTCATTACACTTACTGAAATACTGAATTTCTGCTTGTCATTGAAATTTTTAAAGACGAAAGACGAAAGAACAAAGAGGGATAGAATTGGCCTAGTTTTTCCAAACAACAACAAGAAAAAAGAACATTAAATCGAAGGCCTATATATGCATGGTTGAACAAAACTTTATTGATCACACATTCCTATTGCCTACTTTGGTGAGTTGCAAAATTTTCTTTGAAACACATAAACATATGCATTATACATATTTTTATATAAATAAGGCGTTCTCATTAGTTTCTGAGATGCAATCAATCAGTACTAATTGTAACATTTATAACTTGTAAGCCGGATTGTGGCTATCTTTCCAAATTGTGTTCACACAAAGATTGTTTGCAAGCCTAAAAGAAGGATCTTAGACTGATACATACCAACAAACTATGGACTCATTCAATTGATGACCGCTAGGGTGTGGATTAAGGTTCGACCATGCGATAAACAGTAATAATACATAAATAATGCATGTTGAACTGACCTGTACCAATCCGGTTACTTGTGTTGACCCAAGAAAACGGCTAAGTCCATTGTTGGATACTAAATTAATTAGTTTAAAGCCTATTTATAACAGGTGACACTGCGACTATAAAGACTCGTCCGTACAGAAATGCAGGTTTTTATTCTGTAGATCGTATCCCAATGTATCATTTGATGATTCAAAAAATTTTTTTTTGGTCGTGCCATCATTCATTACATTCATTGTGTCATACATTGTTCACAGTTGTTTGTGTACCTTTTCAAAACTTCTCACGTGATTATATTTTCACTGTGCATGATTGTATATATCGATATATGCCAAATTCTCAATTGATTATGGCTCGACATTGTCTTTCGGTGTATCCTTTTCGCAGGCGATATATTGTTATCGTGCGCGACTCTACCATACCTAGTAAAACAATAAGAAAATATATACATTCCATATGTGTATGAAACAATTTGATGTATTATTGGAGTTCTGCAAGAAAAAGTTGATTATTGATTTGCACTGATCGCAGTCTATCCCTAGGTCACATCTTTAATAAATTTGTAATTAATATTAATAAATTGGAATAATATTACGGAATATACATACACGGATATAATATTTATATCGAATTTATTAAATGTACGTATTTAATTGAATGTTTTTATTGATATTGATGGCTTTAAAGTTTAAGCTTCGCAGATTTATATGTATACGATGATCTAATAAAGCTTAAATTAATTGACCAATTTTTTGGTTCGTCAAAAGTTTTTTTTTTTTTTTTTTGTACGGTCGGCAAAAAAGGTAAGATATGATTAATTTTATTCTAAAGAATAAATCGTACAGTATTTTGAAAATTACTGTATATAAATTTTAATTATATAGTGATAAAAACTATTTTTAACTAAATATAATTTAAATCTAAAAATTTGAAGTTTTTTTTTTTAAAAAAAAATAAAAAAATAAAACCATGAAAATATTTATGCTGACATTTAATTTTGCTTTAAAAATATCTGAACTGTTTGGTATTAACGGAAACGAAGTTTCAACTTGTATGTATATATTTAAATTAAGGTGTTTTTAATTAACCTATGTTTTGGTATGATTATTGACTTCGAGATAAATAATTTTCATGGTGCAAGTTACTGATTAAAACATCAGATATTGGGGTGTACTAACATCTAAGTAATCAAGTTAATTAGCATAATTAAATCACTAATCAACTTTTTTTTGAACAAATGTAAGCTAAAAATTTTGTCTTTTGCTTCAAAAAAGATAAACACACCAAAGCATACTGTTTAAATTCCTCATTACGTGCTTTTTAATGTAAAAGAACTTTTTTCAAATATTTATAAAATTTCGCAAGAAACAATTGTAAAAATTCAGATAATGTTATAAAATTTTAAAAAAAATTATTACCTAAAAACATTTACAAAAAACCCCACATCTCATTATGCCAATTCAAACGTTTTTAACTTAAAAGTAGTTAAAAAGATAATTAACAAAAAATTATACAAATATTAGATATAGTGTGTTTAATTTATATTAATAATTAAACCTTAATCAAAGATGGCTTTTTTGGAACCAGAATTTATTTATTTAACTACGAGCAAGAGAGCTCCAAGGGCTTCTTACACTAGAGAGTATAACTAGCCATATGTGCTCTTAAACTACTATTAAGATTATGTACATACCGATAACAACATCTATACTATGGTCATTGCTACTTTTAAAATTGGGCTGTGTATATTGTAACCATCAGAAGAGCTTGGCCGAGTTAACTGTCCTACCTAAAAAATTTCGCTGGCCAATCAGATTTCAAGATCAGGTACTACGCAGAAGAAACGCGAAAAATCAAGACAACCAAAAAAAATAGGTCATAACTCAACATTTTACCTATGAAACCACCTTCTGCTCATTAATAAAAAGTTTTCCTTGAGAAATTTTGATATTAGAAGAACTTTATTTAACCTGAATTAATAGCAAAGCCTAACCCTAATATAGCAATGAAATTTTTTTAACGAAGTTTTTTAGGTTGGTAGAGTTTAACTCCGATGGCTGACGCTAGAAGAGCCATGTGACAGTATCGGAGGTTATTAGATTTGAAGACATGACAACTACTGTTGAACCTCTCAAAACTAATCTTGTCAAAAACGATATCCTGTCATGTCTGATAAACATTAACCTACCAAGTTTGTTTCTTTCATATAAATCCAATAGTTGCCATGTTTCCAAATCTAATAACCTCCCGATACTGATACGATCTGTCCACGCATATCGGTTTTGAGAGGTTCAACAGTTTTAGATTTATATGGCAGAAACAAACTTGGTAGATTAATTTTTTGTCAAGCTTGACAGGTTATCGGTTTTGGCAAGATCAGTTTTGAGAGATTCAACAGTGCAAATTCACGTAATCAACTTTGTTTAACCAGTTTTAGCTGGTTATATTGAAATCATTTGTACTGCACTGTTGAATCTCTCAAAACTAATCCTGTCAAAATCAAAAATTAATCACCAAGTCCGTTTCTGCATATAAATCCAACAGTTTACAATATTTTCAAATCTGATAACCTCTTGATACTGCTAAAAATTTGTTCACCGTGCATATTAGTTTTGAAAGGTTAATGTTATGGTCGAAAAAAAAATTATGTGTACGGAGTTACACGAAATCGATGTGTGCGAAGGTACACAAAACTGATGTAAAAAAATCATTCCCCATACCTTGGTTATAATCGTTGGTGTATCCGTTCCCGACTCTAATGCGCCTAATTTATGCAATTATGATACAAATATAAAAATTAATATCGACCAATTGAGTAATTGGTTTGTAAGTTAACACTATTTATTTCATAGCCAATGTACTTTGTCCAGATATAATATTTAAACTAATCTGGCCTTATTATGTATTTATGAGTAACCTATTGTCAAACAATTAAGCTATATAGGTATTGAAAAGTCTTGAATAAGATAGGTGGCACAAAGCACTATTTATTGAACTACAATTAAAGCTCGATATAGTGAAGTCTAAATTCTGACTTAATAATTTCATTATACGTATAGAAATATTCGGTTATCAGAGGACAAATTTATATGTTCAGACACAATTATGATACGTACAAAAGGTTTTCGTTATTTCAAAATATTTGTTATGAAAAATTCGCTTTCTCGAGCAATGACTGTAGTATATATATTATAATATTTAGCTAATCAAATATACAGTACGTATATATAATATAAACCAATTTTCCGATACCCATTTCCCTGATATCTATTTCTCTAATACCTATTTCGTAGATGATCATTTTACTAACAATTTCACTAATAATTTATTTTTTAGCAGTTTATTTTTTCAGCAGTTTATTTTTTCAGCAGTTTATTTTTTCGATTTTATGTTTTCAATAGTCTATTCTTCTAACAGCTATTTTATCAACAATTTGATCTAATTTAGGATTAGAATTGATTCACTTTATAGTTAGTATTAATTGGAGGTTTTCTTGAATAATAAAGATCATTTTTGCTTATATAAAAATAGTATATATATATCATAAAAATGGTATTTTTTTAATGAATTTAAGATAATATTAAAAATATTATATTATTTTATTTGTAAAATTTAATATCTAAAAATAATAATAAAATTACAATTTAATAACTCTTTTCATAAATCTTTTTTACAAAAAATTAACAAAAATTTATTTATAATAACAATTATAATTAACTTATTATTTTATTTGTTTTATTTTTTATTTTTATTATTTTTATTATTAAAAACTATACTTTGCAGTGATAGTTTTATTAGTAATTTGAAGTTAGTATTACAACTATTTTTTATAAACATAAGAGTACAACTAGTTATATATGCAATTTTTGGTTGTCTATTTAAGTAGTTTATTTAAAGTTTTATATTAAATGTTATACTTATAATCTACTAGAAGATTTCTCTAATTATCTGTTTTTATCAAATTTTAACCTATTACTAACTTTTATATTTTCTTATATATACTGTCTAAGCAGCATATACTTTATTTTTCTGAATTTGTATATAAGTTATTACTTATTTCAAAGCATGTTATCTGATAGTAGATTCAAAAAAGCCTTTTTATTAACTAATTAACTTATTTTACAGTCCTATTAACAGGATTATATTATTGTAGAGTTTATTCAAACCATAATATTAATTTTATAACATATTCTTAGTACTTTAATATACTTATGTTTTGTTATTAGATTTTTATTTCAAATAGTCAAGAAAGATTATAATCTGTTTTTAGTATATTAAGTTTGAATTCAATATTTTTTTCTTCTAGTCTGAATCTAGTAACCTAGTTAATAGCATCTTTTATCTAGAGATTCTTGTTTGTCTGATTTCTTAATATTATATTTGTTTTCTAGATTTAGTTTTTATAATTGCATTATTAAAAGTTTATGTTATCTCTCTATTTATATCTTTTTAAATAAGGTTTTATTTTTTAATTTTATAAATTTTATATGATTATAAGAACTTATATTGGATTTGTATTGTCTGATACTAATTTATATTTC